GTGCAAGTGCTTCCCTTTACTCACCCACCGTCTGACTTAAATGTTTGCACTTTCCTCAGCTGGCTTCTCCCAGGGCGCGAGTATGGCGCTGCACCTGGCTCTCCGCTACCACACCGACGTGGGCGCTGTGGTGTCGCTCAGCACCTTCATGTACCACAACAGTGAGGTTTACAGGGTAAGTTTTTAATTCTTCAGAGTTACACGGAACTTATTTATTTATCTTTGGTAAGTGTTTCACAGCGCTTTCAACTGCATAAGGTCATATGAGTGCGCGAGACAAATCAAACATTTTCAGTTGGTTGGAAATTTTGAATTTTGCCGGCTGGCGGCCGAAGCCTGCTCTTAATACTTATCAATTTTAGACAGCAAAGGGATCTTTAACGTGCGCAACTTGGACACGGGACCTCCAAGATTTTTCACCCTTGCCCGAGAAGGCTAGGTGTAGATCTTTCCTACCAGAGGTGTGGCTGAAAGACAGCAGTAAGAAGGAGCTACCGAGTAGCAATAGAAAGAGTAGAACCACATTAAAGCACAACACCGACAGTTAGACCAGAACCGCCGTTTTCCGTCGGGTGCAGCCGACCATATTAGGTCATGTAAGTGCCGTAGATCTGGGATGTTGTTATTAGAGGGAGGTTTACAGCACTTTGCAACACAAATAGTTCATTTCCTAGTTCACAATAGGTGCAGAAGATTAGATAAGGTGTAACAAGAGAGTAACAAATACAAAAAAAGGAGAGATAGAATTGATAGGCGTTTAATTTGACAGGAAAGAAGGAGCAAACCACACCAGAGAACCGCCAACCACCCACTTTCACGAAACTAACAACGAAAATAAATCATATATATGCCGTAGATCTTAGGTTTTATAGGAGAGTAACAAACATATTATTATAAGAAAAGAAGAAAGAGAGATAAGAACGGTTGCTGATTGATAAGGAAAGTAGCAAACCACACAGGAGCACCCGCCAACCACTAACGTACAAGGTGAATCTTGACGACTAGGCTACATTGATTAGTCAGAGTAAACACACACACATACACACACAATGAAAGTGACAGAGGGAGAGAGAGAGAGAGA